TGCCTCTTTCTGGACCAAGCCCAGTGGAGACATTTAGCGCCAACAGCATTTTCCTCTTCTGTCCCCTCTTCCTCTTTGACACTCTTTCCCTTGGCTTCTATGAGGGCCCACCTCTTGGTTTTCTCCTGCCTCTGGGCCATACCTTCTTAGTCCCCCTTTCAGGCTCCTCTTGCTCTATGTGACACTTCAATGCAGACTATCCATCCAAAGCTGTCACCTGTTCTCCCTCCATCCACTCTCCCTGGGAGAGTGCAGTCACAGGTCCTCCTCCCTTTGTTGTGGGGCTGCCTTCTAACCCCATTGCCCGTGAGTCAGATGTGACAGCACTCCTCTCTGTGGGTGCCCCAAAGTCACCTCAAACTCAACAGGTCCAATACTGAACTCAGCCTTTTCCCACCGAAGCGTGTTCCTCTTCGTAGATTCCCCATCTTCAAGAATGGCACCATCAGCACCCCACTTGGCCAAGTCAGAAACTTTCAACAAATATACATTGTCAGGTAGTGAACTAGGTGCCAGTTTCCAACGGTGAACAAACAGGAAGAGTCCTGGACACCTTGGAGGTTACAGCATAGCTGGCCGAGGGGCGGGGGGTAAGAGGTGTGGGGGGATAGGAAAGAAATGAGTCCAATACTAACACATAGAGATGTGAAGTAGCAACTGTGAAAGGTGCTATGCAGAGGGCCTATGATGGGAGAACCAATGTGGTCAGGGGTGCAGCAAAGGCATTCCTGAGGATGGCCTGAGTGAGATGAGGCCTGAAGATGATGAAGGAGAAGTCAAGAGTGGCTCCAGTTTCTGGCCTTTACAATGCACTCAGATGGAGCCCACGTGGGGGGAAAGCGGGGAAGGAGAGGAAGGTGAATTCTGCTTGGGCCATGTTGAGGGTGACATGCCTGTGAGCATCCAGTGAGAGATGCGGCAGTTGGATACATGAGCCTGGGTCAGAGACACACACTTGGGAGCCACTGGTGTATTCACAGAATCGAAGGCAGCTGTCCAGGAGAACAGAGGGAGACAGGGAGAGGGTTTGGAATGGAAGCCTGCCTCTCCTGCTGCTCACTATATGCCAAAAAGGCTCTGAAGCTGCTCGGCAATGTTATGATTGGCTATGTTATGATAGCCACCATAACAATGTTATGATTGGCTATGTTAGGATAGCCATAACAACAATGTTATGGTGGCTATCCCATAAGGCCTCAGTGTGCCTGCTTCCATGGGCACATTTCTGTGTTGAAAGTTAATATACCAAACACCGACATTCAAATGGGATATTCCCTTCACAGTGGAACCTCCCCTGGAAGTTCTCCACTTAGTCCAATACCTTCCCATCATTTAAGATATTTCTAGAACTCTACGAACTGCCTACAGAGGCATACCATAAAATCAGCTCATTTAACTTCACACACACACACATATACATAAACAGACACACATATACATATACATATACACTTACACATATAAAGATATATACACACCCATATGTGCACACACCATATACTAGTACACATACATACATACACACACATATACATATACACAAACCCATATATGTACACACACATATATGTCCCTGAGAGAAAAGGGAGGACCTCAGGGATCTGCAGCTGAGCAGTGACTGCTAACCAGCGGGGGTGGGAGGTGGTGGGGGGGAGGAGAGCAAGCAGAGAACAGTTCAGCCAGCTGCTGTCTCTAAAGGGCATTGCTTGACTTTGAATGTTTTCTAAAGGACAATCTTTCTTGGGAAGGGAGATCAGAAGTTTAAAGAAGACAGGTGGTGTGTCTTCTTTAAATCAAGGGGTAAATTAATAACCATAAATCATGCCAATGCCTTGTGAAAACATACAAACCTTCAAACAATAAAATAATTTGTCAGAGTGGCAAGTTCTTAATACCCAGGCAACCTGAAAAGTTGCCACTTCATCAGCTTTGCATAAAGTCCCCAGTAGAAATGGGAAGGGCTCCCTCCTTAGCCAGTGTTCCCAGCAGGATTTCCCCTGCCCCGCCCCACCCAGCTCATCCTAGTCCTTGTCCTCCCACCCCAAGGCATGATGCTTGCACCTGGCGCAGTGTGTTTCTCTAAATTCTGGGGACCGGGACCCAGGAAAGGCAAGAGCCCGGGGAGTATGCACAGGTGAGGTCAGGACTGCCCTGCTACCTGAATGGCCCAGTTAGAATTGTCCCTACAGCAGAACTGGTCCTGTTGGGACAGGATGTGCATCACGAGGTACAAAGCAATTCTTGGCCCTGAGCAGAGGTTACCAAAGACAGGGAAAGAGACAGGAGGTTCAGGACAGATGTCAAAGCTAGGCCACCCTGCCGCAGCCGGTTCACCCCTTCGCTGGGATGAAGAGCTCACTCACCCCTCCATCCTCTCCCTTTGTGATGAAGCCCTGCAGCTAGTCAGTCCCCCAGGCCAGGCACTGGCACTTCATCTCCAACTCCTCCCTCTCCCCTGACAGTCCATCCATTGCCAAACGCTGCCAATGTTTCCTCCTTAGCTTCACTCGACCTGCCCTCTGAGTACCGTTCTAATTTAGACTCCTCTGACCCAGGCAAGACAGCTGAAAGAGTCTCTTAAATGCTTTTATCTCAACTGTTCTCCCAATCTTATCAGCGAGTGTGACTATTTTGTTCTCCTGCCCAGGATCTCGTCATTGCCTACAGGATAAATCCAGTGGCCGTCACGGCCCTGTTCTACCTGCCACCTTCCAACCTACACCTGGTCCAGCTCAGAACTGGCGACACCCTGCCATGCCCGAGATGAGCAGACTCTTCTCTCCTGTCTTCTCATGACTCCATCCCTTTGACCAACTATTCCTCCTACTCCGCAGATGGCCTGTTCACCACCGATCAGGCTCATTCTCTAAGACCCAGCTCGTAAAGGCTCCTTGTCTCCCTCCGAAGTCTCTCACTCCCAGCTCTGTGCCCTCACCTGCCAGTTAATCTCTCTACTGCCACAAATAAGAGACGTACTTCAGCTTCTTTGTGAACTTGGTGGTCCCCCAGGAGGCCATGATCTCCTCAAGGATGGTCCAGTTTTGTAGCTAAGGGGTCTGGCCAGGCGCATGAACACTGAGCTAATGAATGAAGAGCATCTCTCTAAGGCAAGCTCCAGGCGAAGAGAGCACGGCCTTTCTTAACACCAGCTCCTCCTCAGGCCCTTACCCTCCTGGCAGCCCCATGGGCATCTCAGAGCTCTGATCTGCCCCAGATCACTGGCAGCCACTGCCACCATTCCCACACAGGCATGGCCCAGCCACCTAGGAGCCAGCTCCCTGAAGGACTTTGTCATTTTGTTAAGAGATGGTCACCCTGAGAGTCCTGGTTTGTCTCTCTGTGGGGGGCAGTGGACACAGCCATTCACACCTACATTCCACCCCACAAAGGTACTACTTTAGGCAGGTGCTGCTTCCACCTCCACCCCCCACCTCCCCCCCGCCCAGCCATCCTACAGGCCCAGGACTACCAGAGGACTGAAGGATGGAGGGTCTGACACTCACCCCAGATGTGGGATTGGCTGTCCAGCCCAGCTCTGCGGTAGCCGTCCTGGTGTCCATTAACGTTTCTGTGGATCAAAAAGAGAAGATCTGGTCAGTCGGAAGGATCGCTGGGCAGTGGCCTTTGTGTCCATGAAGTTACTCATGAGCAGAATGTCGGTGCCAGGAGCCGTGGGCGCCTCTGTGAAGCAGAGAAGGGGAGAGGTCTGCCAGGACCATGCAGCTCAGTACAGAGCTGGGCAGGCCTCCGGTCTCCGATGCCAGGTCCGCAGCTCTCGCCCCCAATGACCTCAACCCACCCATGTGGGATGAAGTCATCTATCCACCCACCACTTTATACCTAAGACACGGCTTCTTCCATCAATACTTTCCCTAGAGGCTCTTCCAGGGCCATGCAGGCCCAGTAGCCACCTCTTTCTGCACTCTTCTTCCCCACTGGGCTGCTCCTCAACCGCACCTGTCCATCCTGCCCTCCTCTCCTCTGCCTCCCCTTCAGGCATCCGTGTTGACACCCTTAGGTGACTTCCCTCCTCTGGCCCCAACCACTCTCCAAAGACTTGGCCCTCCTGCAGGTCCCTTTGACCCCTGAACTCAGATACATGCTGACCCCCTTTCCCAAGACTCTATTGGGGACTCACCCAGAACACAAATGCACACGTCAGACCCCAGCGGTCTGCTTCCTGGTTACCACTCCCTCTAGCCATTAAGTGAAGGACAGACACCCTGACTCTTGGGCCATCGGGGTCGCTACAGTACACACGCCAAGATCACCAGGTGCCATGTAGTGACCACAGTGCTGGTGTTTATTACAACAGATTTCTGGAAGGTAGCAGTAACGTGTCCTGAGAACAGGGCATGTTTTCCTTTTTTCCTCTTCAGTTTATTATTGACTGTTCCCCCCCGCCCCGACCTCTTAATAGAGACTGCTCCCCAAAGGCAGCCCACCAGCTCCTGATCAGCAAACCCACAGCCTCTTTGTTTCTTTAACAGCTTTATTAAGGTAGAAATGACATACAATTAACAGCACATAATCAAGGCGTACAATTTTGAGAAGTTCTGACATATATTTACACCTGTGAAACCATCACCACAATCAGGATGATAAATATATCCATCATTTCCAGAAGTTTCCTTGTCCCTGGGTGATCCCTCCTTCCCTCCTGTCCCTGCCCCACCCTCTCACTGTCTCCAGGCAATGACAGATCTGCTCTCTGTCACCATCGATTAATTGGCATTTTCTAGAATTTTACATAAATAGAATCATGTAGTACGTATATTTTTTTTTACTGGCTTTATATCAATAGTTTATTCCTTTTTATTGCTGAGTAGTATCCCATTGTATAGGCACACTGTAATTTGACTCCCCAGTTACCTGCTGTTTCCAGTTCAGGGCTAGTACGTGAGAGAGTAGGAGAGAGCCAGTCCTCCACATCCTCACCACACTGGCATGGTCGGACATTTTAAATTCTGGCCATTTTAATAGGTGTGTGGTGGTATCTCATTGTGGTTTTAATTTCCATGTCCTTAACGATGAATAATAATAAACATCTTTTCACATGCTTATTTGCCATTTGTATACTTTGGGGGTGAAGGGTCTGTTCAGTCTTTTTCCATTTTTAAATGGGGTGATTTGTTTTCTTTTTACCGAGTTTGGTGAGTTCTTTATATATTCTGCATAAAGTCCTTTATCAGATGCATGCTTTGCAAATATTTCCTCCTATTCTGTGGCATTCTTTTATCCACGTCTTTCAACAAACAGAAATTTTAAGTTTTTATGAAGTCTAATTTATCAACTTTGTCTTTTATGGTTTGGTGTCATATCGGAAAAACCTTTGCCTAACCCAAGGTGACAAAGAGCTTTCTCTTACCTAGCTCTATGATCTCTTCTGAGTTCATTTTTGCTTCAGGCAGAAGGTATGAATCAAATATACAATTGTGTGTGTTTTTCATGTGAATATTTAGTTGTTCAGAGGATCACCTTTTAAATTCACACAGTGGTGCTGTATGGGCTGGTGGTGGTGTCCTATCCACCTGGTGTCCCGGGGCATGTATCCAAGGAACCGGCACAGCACGTCCTACCCGCTCAGCAAATGAGAATATACAACATGCGGCTGTTTGGGTTTTTCCTTCCCCTGTTCCCTTTTGCTCCTGAACAGCCCTCCCTCCACCTCACGTGACCAGCCAGTCTCTGCTCACTGCTTCAGGTGGGAGATGGGAGATAGGAATGAAGAATGCAGGGCTATAAAATCTTGGCTCCTTAGGAAAGGGAAGGACGCCTGGCATAAATCAAAGGTTTGGGAACAAACCCACGGGCAAGACCAAGGGAATGAAAGCAGAAGTGATGAATGAGGAGCTGTGTGGAGAAGGGGGTTCCCTTTGCTCTCGCCTCCCAGCGCTCAATCCCAGAGAAGAGATAATGGTAGGAATCTTTCGAGGTGAAAGGGACATGGACATCCAGCACCCCAATGTGGTGACGCAGCAGCGAGTGACCCCACCAAGCTGACATGACACAGATGGAGACTTAGGATCTGAACAGGGTCTAATGAAGGGGACCCGGAATGTCCCAGGGGTGACCTGCATGGACAGTGAGCAAGGGTCAGATAGGGTACAGGGTATCTCAACAGGGGCCCATGTGGGCAGGAGCCAACAGGACCAGCAAGGCACCCTCCTCCACAAGTACATACCCTACATGTGGCCTGGATGATATTTCTGCCACGCCCTGGCACGGGTTTTCTAACTGCAAACCGAAGGGAGTAAGGTAGGTAAAGCAGGCTGCCTGTTCTTGCCCACTTGAGTTTGGGTTTTGATTGAGAGTCAGACCCCGTGAACATCTGAGGGAGCGCCAGAAGTGGCACAGACTCCTCGAGTGTGTTTTCTCCTCTGATTCTTTGACAGCTGGGGAGGCCGATCCCTGCATGGAGCAGCCCTCCCTCTCCCCCTCATCTCCACTTCACAGCACTAATAATGATCATAATGACACACCGAATTTACATAATACACTTCTCAGAAGACACTCCATGAGGCTCCGAAGAAATTCATCTTCGTGATTAAAATGCCTCTGCCAGGTGGGCCTGAGGCAGGAGCCACCAAACTCATGTGGCAGCGTTAGGGACCAGGGCACGGGAATGTGCCGTGCCTTCTACAGGGTCTCAGAGCCTCCCCCCTGGCGCCCATAGCCTCACATCCCAGCCCGCTGCCTGCCAGGCAGACCTGGGCTTCCGGGACCTCTGCCGTGACCCTGGGGTAAGGGGGGCCTTGCTCATGAAGCCAAAAAGCCACAAAAGCCCCCAGAATAATGCACCCCCTCAACCTCAGGATCATGTGGAAGTAGCCGTGAACAGGTGGAGGACACGACACGGGCAGCAAGAAAAGAGAGTCCAGATCAAAAATAAGAATCAGCTTTCACTCCTAACCTTCCAAAGACGGGTTTGTTCTGCGAAGCCCATGAATACAATCTAAGTTTTCATTATATTCATAGTCACCTGCTCAAGGGCTGTAATTGAATCTGTTTCTCAATAATGCTTTCCAGCCACGCTGGTGGACCAAAGTTGCGGGGAGAGGTATCTGTGTCTCCGCATCCCGCCCGCTGTGGAGACAGAGGCCACGAAACCGTAAACCATCCACTCGATATGATTAAGGGCCATTTCTTTCCTGGCACAGATAGCGCCTGATGATGGCATTACACTCTGGTGGGGGCTGCATAAAAGTGATTTGAGGAGGTTTACATCTCCCCGGAGAGGAAGCGTGTGCTCATTTGCATTTATAAAGCATATTGAGAGTCCTGGCAGAAAGTTATGGTGGAAGCACAATTAAATATTTACCATCACTTCTGCTCTCAAACAGGGGCGTGGGGACCAAACCAGCTGGAGGTGCATGTGCTGCTGTCAGATCTGATGTCTACAGGGGACAGGACTCTGGGACCCACGCCCACAGCCTGGCTCCTCCCTCTGGGGGATGCACTCACTGCCCACAGGAGGAGAGCTGGGAAGGGCACTCACACCGAATGGAGAGAGGCCACTGATGCGGGTGAACTGGGCGCAGGCCCCACTTCCACTACTTTGGGACAATCTCTCTGTCCTCTCCCCCCCTCCTCTTCCTCTCTCCCCCTCTCCCTCTCCCCTTCCCTCCCTTCTCATCTTTAGAGTAGGGCTAGCGCTAGCTACTACACAGGACTGTGGGGGATGGGGGCGGGGGAGGGGGACTGCATGAGACAAGGCACTGCAAACCATAGGCCGTTATTACTATGATTTAATCACTCCAAGCTTCAGTTTCCTTAACTATGAAAAGAAGCTAATGATGGTATCTGTGAAATACTTATAAGATATCTATAAGAATCAATGACATTAAGTATCTAATGATATCTCAATTACCCTCTTCCTTACATTGTTGTCAAGACCAGGGAGTAACATACACTGAGGATGTAGCTGTGGTTCAGAGCAGTGGGTGACTGAGAGGGACTCACCATCGAGGCCTGGAGGTGGGGGTGGGGGTGGGGGTGGGGGACAAGAAGCCAAGTCACACTTGGCATCCTATCCTGGCTGAGCCCATGAGAAGGGAACTGGAAAACTCACGGGAAGGGAGAGGGTTCTTCTGCATGAGGGAACACGTGGGCCCGTCCAACAGGGAGCATCACGCTGTGTGCAGGCAAAGGGAGACACTGGGGTCCCCTGCCCAGAGGTGCGCAGTGGTGGGGAGGGTACAATATCTCCTTTGGCTCTTGGGAAAGAGGTGACAGAGACAACAAGGGAAGGGGCGGAGACAGGTGGACAGGATGAAGCGGGAGCCGGTGAGCAGGAGAGGATGGGAGGTCACAAGGGGAGAAAGAAGAGAGCTTCTGGCAAGAGCTGGCCTGGCAAGAACCTGAGAAGGATGGGGTGCATAAGAAGCCTGGCAGAGAGACCCCATTTCCCAGGGAGCAATTTCCCTGCATTGGGTTTCATATGGAAACCCTCAGGATACCCCCTCCAACCCGGGGTGGGGGTGGGGGTGGGGGACACTGCCTAGGCTCCGGGTGGTGGGGCTGGGTCCAAGAGAAGGAAGAGGCAGCTGCCACCTGGGTCTGT